TTAGTTGTGACTATGATTTGTTGCTTAGAACATTCAATGAATGGCATTAAGGGTGTTTGGCTATGTTAAATAGATTTAGTCAAACCATGAATTCGGGCTATATTGTTTTAATTAGCTTCATTTTGATATGTTGCCTGTTAATTGAATGTAGTCAATTATACAATGTTAAGTTTAGATGTAACTCTCTGTTTTGTGCTCTATTTTTAAAATGTGTATCTGTAGGATATTATTATACGTTGGTTTAATTTCCCTTTGTCTTGTTTCTTTTTGTCTCTATTTATTACTCTTTGTTGCTTTTAAAAACATAAAAAGAATATCATGTGATTTGCTGAGAATATGTCTTCTTGCTATCTGTTGAGTCTCAAACTTGCTGATGTGTTGCATCAGATCTTCATAACAGAAAAAATATAGGTACATGAAGATGCAAGGGTGAGAAGATTGATAAGGAAAGTGAAGACAAAAGAAGAACAAAGCCATAGATGTAATAGATAAATGAATAAATTGTACTATGAAATTATATAATATGTATGTCCAGATATTTAAATTGTAATAAGAAATTATATTATATGTATGTCCAGATAATTTTACATGTAACTTTTGTTGCTTTTTGTTGCATTGCACATGTTGCTTTTTGTTGTATCGTGTTGCTTTTTGTTGCATCATACTATTTTTTGTTGCATCGTGTTGTTTATTGTTTTTTATTATTGATTTTGATTGTTTGTCTATTTAGATTTATATTCTTACTTATTTGGAATAACAAATTATATACTCCGTGTGTATATATATATAAACATCTAAAATGATTAATTTGGATTTAAGGATAAACAAAAAGAAACAATAAAAAACAAAAAAGTCAGAGTTATCAACAAAAAGAAACACAAAAAAACAATATGCAACAAAAGTAACAATTAAATTTACTACTGTATATTTTAATTTATGATTTTTCATAAGTATGCAACAATTTACATATGCAACAATATTCCATAAGAATAAGTTTTTCAATTTATGATTTTCATTTTCATTATTTTATTTTATTTTATTCACCTTTTGATTTTCGATTTTCAATATGTACACACTTTTTAATTTACTATATTTTAATTCTAAGAACCCTGTTTAAATTTTTATTTGATTTTTTGAATGATTTAAAATCTCATAATCTCTAATATTCGCTAAGCTTTTCCAATTTTCAGTATTTTTTATCTACATTTTCACATTTTTAATTTACTAGTTGTACATTTATAATATTTTTATTATACCTTACATTCTTTGAATTTTTTGTATTTTTTTACTGTAATTTCTTGTTGTCTTGCTTTTTTTTTACAATTTTTTGTTTGAGTTTTTATGTATTTATCTTCATTTTCTACTAGTCTTTTCTATATTTCATTTTATTTTAGTTAACTTCTAAATTTCCCGGTATAATTATTTTTACATTTTATTTTCATTTTTCACATTTCTATTTATGAGTTCTTATTTTTGCACTTTTATATTTTTTATTTTCTGTTTCTTTTATTTTGAGATTTTCTATGAGTTCATTGAATTTTTTTCATATATATATTTATCAAAATTCCTTAGATTTTTAGTTTAATGTATTTCTTCATTTTATACATTTTTAAATTTTTGACTCATTTTCAATTCTATAACATATTTATATGATTTTTTAATATTTTTAGAAATAATTACATAAATATAACCAAAATAAAGATGATTTACAAAAATATGACTAGTTACTAGAGTAGTAATGAAATCATAGCAATTCATGTTCAAGTTTTGAACTTAAGTTACCATAACACTACGTTGTAGTGATGAATAGTCATATTTATGTAAATGAGTTTTATTGTAGACATATATTTTGTTTTTAAATTTTTTTATTTGTATATTAATATATATATTTTTAAATATTTTTAGGAAAAATCGATAGTAATAATCCCAACTATTGGCGGTCCGCTTATAATAATCCCAACTATCGATTATTTCAGAATAATCCCAATTTTAGGGATATTCCACCAATAATGATCCCTATAAATAAATTCTTGTAGTTTCTAAAGTGGATGAGAAGAAATATAGCAAATAATCCCTATTAATAATCTCAACTTTTAATTTTTACGCTTAATTTCTATTAAAATTCACTTATTATATGAGGTAATATCTGATCATGGACCATTATTGACGGATGGTCTATATAGTTGGGATTATACAAAAATAATCAATAGTTGAGATTATTGTCGGCGGACCGGCAATAGTTGGGATTATTATTTTCAAATATTCCATATTTTTATTGTCTACTTTAACTTTTAATTGATTAAGAATTTATATTATTTTCAGTTTTCATCAATTTATTATATTACATATTTTTATAATCTAACTTCAAATTCTTTATAATTTATTTTTTATTTTGTAATTACCTTAAGTGATTTCCTTTTCTCCAGAATTGTTTTCCAGTTATTTTTATCTTTTATACATTATTTCTATATAAATTTAAGAACATAGTGATTCTTGTACGGAGTAGTTTGTATTGAGTTATCAAAGATTGTGCGCACTACCGAATTGGAAGGTCACGTGCGTTTCCTGGTAGTATAGATTCCAGTGGGTGGTTTTGTACGCATTGGCTATTTATGAAAAGAAAGGCGCGTCGAATCTATTTTTGAAAGAATTTTTTAATAATGAGAAAAGTGATATTATTTTCACTTTTTAGTCTATTTGTGAAAAAATCCCTATTAGTTATACAAAGACCATCCTATACTAATTGGCAACGGCCCATTTAAGATTCTAATGGATCTTAAGGGATCGCAATCTATCTGATAGTAATGAAAATCAATGGACTTGGAAATTGGAATCCCCTGAGATGGGAAAATCATGCTGGGAGAGACGATTTGGGCGATTATTTCGGGGGATGAAATGCACGTCCCAGGCCAGGACGGAGAATCCTAGAGGTAGCTTCGGCTTCAATCCAGAATTCTTGAAGATAATATACTACTATAATTAGAAATCCTCTTGTAAAGGGGAACCCATCCTTCAGCCCCTTGGTATTACAATGATGTTTATCCTTCAGCCCCTTGGTATTGCAATGATGTTCATCTGACTTTCATAGTTTGATGAACAATTCTTCTTGTACATACTTTACTTTTTACACACTTGTACGCTGTATGATTTTTCTCGCACTTAAAAATGATAGTAGTAAAGTGGTGAAAATATGAGTATCGTCTTCACGGGGATGGAGAAAAGGGAGTTAAGAATTAAACAAATTCAGCGATTAAAAAGAAATAAAAATCAAATGCAATGGTGCGAGATTGGTTGTTGGAAGATTAAAATGCGAATAAAATGATTAAAATAAATGGGTTCTCTCTAATTAATGACGAAGGGAACAAGGATTGGTTCCGGGGTACTCGGATTTCTGGCAGATCAGGCTTAATCACATGAAAATTATTTAATTGAGCAACACTAATCAATACTAAGTTCTAATCGCTCTCGCGGCATAGAGTACAATAATTTAGGGAACCAGGCTGATCTCTCAGGCGATAGGTATCTAAAATTATTGCCAAACGAGCGAGCATACGACCCTTTAATCGCTAATAATCTCTTGGCGAACAATTAAGTGTGTGTCAAAGTTTCATAGAATAAATTAGATCTCTCTTAATTTATTCTGAATGCAATTGTAATTCTAATGGTCATTCTAGGTTACAAGAGATATCAATTAAATCATTCATATGCAAACTAAATAAAGATTCATGCAAGTTAAACCATCAAGAAACTAGCCATACATCATGAATAACCCTTCATCAATCCCAAATCCCTAATTAAAACTACTCACAATTCATAATTGAAGAATCAATAGAATTGGGAAAGAAAGAATTAATTTTCATTAATTAAAAAGATTAAACATACAAAGAATCCCGAAATCTTGACAATCCAAGGCTTGAAAAGCTCTCCAAAATCGACCTAGGGTTTATTTCCCTAAGTTCATGTCTGAAAAATAGGCAAAACGGGCTCCATTTATAGAAAAATAGCGAAATTGGCCGAATTTTAACCCACGTGGTCGTTCACGCGGTCACCCACGCGGTGTGCGGGCGACAGCGCGGCTGATTTCCGTGTCGTAACTTGCTCCGTAATTCTTCCGCCCATGCGCGTGCGGTCATCCGCACGGTACAACCGTGCGGGCACATCTGGGGCTCGTTTCTAGGCCGTGGGGCGTGCGGTTTCAACCGCGAGGTGTGTGGTTCAGACTTCTTGACTTCTAGCTCTCAGTATCACCCGCGGGGCGCGCAGATTGCTCTAGAACCGTTCTCTTGCTATTTTCTTCCTTGTTTGCTCTCGATTGATCCTATCTTGAATCTATAACCTTCCAAGCCTCGAATCATGACTCTAAATCATCCCGTGGACCTTCGTTGCCTCTCGCTATCTCTCGAACACATCTCAAATCTTCTCAACTTTCGCTCAAACGCCGATGCCGGGTCCGAATTCTTCCTTTTCTTCAACGAATGCAAACCAAACCCGGTAAACCGTGACTTGAGCTAAATAAACACTTTGTGGCGCAAATAAATTAGGAAAAGTGACAAAACTCAATCTCAACACGCATCAAATGCGTGTTGAAATACGAACTTATCATACTCATTGTTTATTGTTTTTTGTTTTGTCATAGACAAAACGTTATATGTCTGTGACAGACAAAACACATTTTGTTCGTGACAGGCAAAAAAGGCATTCATAGACAGTTTATACAAGAAGATGTGTACAAAAGGCTTTTTTGTAGTTTGATGACCATTGAGTTCTGTCATTCAAAACCTGACATTCGGTCTTTTAAGTATACTTGATCGAATCTCAGCTCAAGCGTCCAGTTTCTTCATTAACCAGTCGGTTGATGAGCAATTACATCCATAACAAATCGAATTATATTAAATTCATTTGTAAAGGATATACGATGCATTTGATTTATTGAAATGATGAGTTTTATGTTATACGTAGTACATAAATGAAAATCATACTAAAATAAATACTCCATATGCATTAGTATGACATTGTACAATGAATGAGAACAAAGTAATTTATGAATTGGATCTACAACTTCACAATTACGGATTGTCAAACCACGAATATAACAAGAGATTGAAGAGGATGCCAGTTATAGTAATTACGGTTAATATTTTAACCTCTAGCAATTTTATTTACATCTTGAAGTTTCTTAATTAAATAATGAAGCGATACATATGTGTATGTGTATATATAATGTGTCGGTACATACATAAGGTCATAACAATTTTCTTTATGGGGGAAGGATTGAATCAACATCTAGTGCTTCCACCATATATGTAGTCAAGTATGGCAATCACTCCAATAACAAAGGCCTGATCCACCCCTGCCTTTATGATCACATTGTACACATCCTTGCTTTTAACCTCTATTCCTTTTCTCAATTCCACCTGCAAACCATCCATATATGTAATTAATTTTCAATAAAACGTTTTCATATAAACATTTTCCAATGGAAAAGTATTTGAAGCGATATATAAAAATTTTATGATATGATTTCATGCCAGCCAAAAAAAGAATACCAAAATTGTGACAGTAAGATGTAAAACCAATACTCCGATCCGGTCCGTAGTATTAACAATTACAGCAAATCAGTTTTTTATTTGAAATAATACTCCCATACGCCAAGTCGCCAATGACTTGTTAATTGCTGTAAAATGGTGAAATGGTTATCAAATTTGTGTACCAATATAATTCAACCATGGTAAGGAGATCATCCTTGAATCAAAATGAGCAACCCCTATATACGAATTAGACGAATATTCAATTTTTAGCAGCCGCATCACTTATGAAATGTATATTTTTTTTTTTGCCCATGCTTGGTGTACATGTACAAAATGTACACAAAATGTATACATTTTAAACATTTTTAAAATGTACACAAAATGTACACTGACAATTAGGAGGGTTTTGACATCAAGTTGAGCCCATTTTTAAACGAATTGTCTATGTACACAACAATTAGGGGATTTTGTGTACACTTTGTGTAAAAGTTATGTACACTAAGAATTTTCCATTTTTTTAATGGAAGAAGTGGGTATATTAAAAACTTAAACAAATGTTACAAATCCACTAATCTTCATTCTTGGTTTTCATATTAAAGAATAGCTTGATGTTGTGATATTGTTTCTCTCCTTAATGCATCAAAAACAAGAGCAAATATTTCTACTTCATTAATTAGTACGGAGTATGTGACTCCAATTCGGGAAAACATTTGAGACGAATGGAGGAAATACAACTTGAATGAAAAGGAACAAATATTCTTTACAGGAAAGGAATAAGCCTATAAAATGAAAAAAAAAAGCAAGCATTGCCAATAACAAGCATCCCGATTTATATAATATCCCATGTGGTTCAATATATCAATCCCTTAAACGATATAAATAAATATTGAGAAAGCAGTCAAATTAGATCTTCTACTATTACGGAATCATCACATAAAGTGTCATACAAACACATCTACTTATAAAAAATAATCGGATGGTTCTAACGACACGTTGACAACCTCTTTTTCCCGATTATGTTACTTTTGCCTTCTATTTCAACCAATATTCAATCCGGAATTTTAGCGTGTCATCTGTTAGTAATCACACACATTTTGAGAAACCTTCAAATCAGCGGCGGGTGAAGAAAATTAATCAGCTCAAGGAGTTTGATTAAGTGATGATTTAAAAAGGTTTAAACATAAACAAATAATTAAGAGATTATGGATGTTTTCTTTTGGACTGAAATTTGTTGGTCTGGTCTGGCTTGATCTGGTCTGGTCTGGTAAACGTCTGGTCTCTGTGTATTTTATAACTATGGAAGTCTAGTCTGTTCTGGTCTGGTCTGGTCTGGGATTGAAAACAGTCCAAAAGAAAACATCCTATATATGAGTTAATATGATACATGCAATACCGTAACTCCGTAACATTTACATATTTTGGCGTTCTTAGGATTTTTTTACTTGGACTGTAATTTGCTGGTCTGGTCTGGTCTGATCTGGTCTGGTCTGGTCTGAACTGGTCTGGTCTGGTCTGGTAAGGTCTAGTTTCTTTGTATTTTTATAACTATCCAAGTCTGGTCTGGTCTGGTCTGGTCTGGTCTGGTCTGGTCTGGTCTGAACTGGTCTGGTCTGGTCTGGACTGGTCTGGGGCAAATTACAGTCCAAGTAAAAACATCCTTAATTATGCGAGCTAGGTACTTCAATAGGTATATTTTTATTTGTATTTTAGAAAAACTTATTTTTATTATTCCATATTATAACTTATACGGAATTTAACTCACTTTTGCAATTGCGTTGCCGAGAGAATCAAGGATGCTGCAATCTCTATCGGGGAAGTAGCCGGCAACGGTGAAATTCCGGTGATTATTACCGTAATCTCTTGATTCAATAGAAATCTTAATAGGGATGTTCTTAAAAATACACGAGTTTGGCTCTTTTAATGTAAAAACCAGCTTCCGAGATCCTTCAAATGTTGTTGTATAGCCTTTCCATTTTCTCGCCATGCTTAGAACTTCAACTATCTCTCCCTACACAAATTAGTTAATCAAATAATACTCCATTCATTTACTCTTACATAAGTTTGTCAACCTTTGATTCTTCCAAAAACTTTAATATAGATATCATACGGTACAAATAACAGGATTGACATAGACTTTTAGCAGGATTAGTCTTATTCGGGTAAAAAAACATTTTATCCCAAGATATTTGACACAAAATCATTGATCAATTCGTATCAAGTTTGTGCTAATTTGTATAATTTTCATTTTGTTATTACTTGTATCAAACAAACTTGACAAAATTATAAGAATGGGGCAATGGATTAACAACTAGACTCGACTATTGGTCTATCCAAATTAAGAATGACACATACATATTTGGGCTTTATGTTACTTTTTTTACATTGATCTTTTGGATAAATTTAAAATCTTCATATTTCGTATGATAATAGAGCTAATGAATGAATCTATTACGAGCCAGCAAATTGGGTTTACCTTTTTTCTAATGAGAAGCAAAGGACTGTCGAAGTTGTCTCTAAGAATCAGCTCATCCTTCCTCCCAATAACTCCGCATCCTTCGGCGCTGAAAAGAGGGGTTTGGTCGACGTCGGTGACCACGAAACCTCCGCCGTTGGCGACGTGCGGGCGTTGCCGGACGACGAGGACCTTCTCGGAAGCTGAGCAATACACTTTGCTCACTACGGAGATGACTTTGGTGGTCGTATTGCTTGTCGTTTTGGAACCCATTGTATCCAGATTTTTTTGTCACAATTCAATGTTTGGATAATATAGGTAGCCTAGTTTCTTTATGGATGGACGGGTTACTTTAATTTTATTCTCGTACGTTCAAACAGGCATCATTTTAACGTTACAATAATGCTCTATTTATATGCGAAAGTGGCGGTCTGAAAGTCAAATGTTTGGCATGTTTGTTAAGTAAAGTACTCTTGCTTTGTTGGACACAGCTATCTCATTTCTTTTTTTGACATAGGCAAGATTCGTTAATTAAAGGAATTTTATCAATTCAGGACACGAAAGATAGATGAATTATCAATCTGGAACTTGAAAAATGAAAAGCATCGATATAGGACCCGAATGATGAAAAACTATCAATTTAGGACCTGAATGATTAAAAACTATCAATCTAGGACCTAAGTTGTCATAAATTTTATTTTTTTTAATTTTAAAATTTTTAAATATTATTAACTTTTATTAAACTAATAAACTTTTGTGAAGAAAAATTTATCAAAAATTAGTAATGGAATTAATACAAAATTAAACAAATCAAAACCTATGAAATGTTAGGTCCTAAATTGATAGTTTTTCATCATTCGGGTCCTATACTGATACATTTCATCTTTCGGATCCTGAATTGATAATTAATCTATCTTTCAGGTCGTGAATTGATAAAATTCCTTAATTAAACTATCCGAGTTATGTGTTAAGTGTTAACACCCACGCAATTTCTAATGTACTCCGTATATTATATGTATAGAGAGAGGGTCTCTATTTCTCAACTGAGTGTGCCATTGGTTCCACACCTTACACCTCCCATGATTATGTGAATTATCAAAAAGTTTAATTTTCTTTTTGATAATCCTGGTGTGTATCGGGACTTACGCTCTCATAATCTTAGAGTCTATCGACTACCCTCCAAAGCCTCCAGACTTGTAAATCCGGAGTTGATCACAGTCAGTCTCGTCGATACTGGCTCCTAAAGAATTAAGAATTCAACAGAATTTACATCACTTGTCATTCCTGGCTGTTCCTCCCACCACACGAACCCGATGTCTTCATTATCACTCTCTCCCTTTTCAGGTGCTGAGCTACTCCCTGAAGGTACAGAGAATCATGGGGAGCAAGATTTGGGGGTGAATGATCATTCATTGGACTACATCCTAGTTAGCTTTTTTCCGTTTTAAACGCGTTTTAAACACGTGCCGTTTTTTTGACCAAAAAAACACGTTTAAAAGGGGGGGGGGAATGTCGGTCCGTTTAAAAAGGAAAAAAACTCCTACTTCCCGTATAAAACATATTTTTCCCGTATTTTACAAAAAAACATAAACATGAATTGACCAATTGAATGAATGCACTAAATGCATAAAAGATCAACAATAGTGTAAAAGTAAAAATGAAAACGTCCTCCCCATGATCTCGTGTTTTTGTATTGTTATAGTGCAATTATTAAATACTAAAATTAATTGCATGATGGCTAAAGCTAGCATCCTGAAATACTAAAACTTACGTAGTAATATACCACAAGATTTCTGATGTTTTTTCAAGCTAGCATATCAAAATTAAGATTTTTCTAAACCTACTGTTTTTTTAGCATAAACTTTTACACAAACAATAATAAGTGTAGCAATCACACAACTTTTGTCATATGTCATCTGTCATCTTAATGAAAATGATGAGTTTAACTTGAGTGTTATTTGATAATCATATAAAGATAATGATTTTTTGACATTATTCTTCAAAATTATGTCTTGGACTTAATTACTGTTTTTATTTTTGTCATCGACTTATGCAATTACGAACTATTCTTGTATGTAGTAATGAGATTTGCAACTTGAATATGTGTATACTTTTATTTCTTTTTTACTATATATGTTATTTTATGATATATATCATTTAAATGTTCAAAATAATACCCGTATTTTTCGTCCGAATTTTTGTAATAGACAACGTATTATACACGTATACGTATTTACACATTTTTTTAAAAGTCAACGTTTTTTTCAACGAATTTTTGACCGTTTTTTTCATTCATGTTACCGAATAAAACGCGTACGTATTAAACCTCGTTTAATTCCCGTACCGTATTTAACTGACTACATCCACCTTCTCACATATATCGTTTAAGTGAATTACAAATTAAACCACACTTCATTTTGTCATTTATTCCTTGGGTTTTGAGCCAAATGATGATTTTTAGTCTCACAAATTAGTTTTTGCAAGAATTACTCTCTAGCTACGAATATGGATGTGTTGACCAATCAATGTGGTTCTATCGAAAGCTTTATTGAGAACCCGCTATGGACACATTTAATGAGTTGATAGTGATTTCTTATACTTGGAGATATATACACATGTTATAAACATGAAAGATTGTTAGAGTGGTTCGTCATTTACTCTTCTAAGGGTAAACGTGAAATATGCGGGTGTTCAAAATTTGACGGGGAAAGTCAAAATCATATACGTAGTATTTGCTACAGAATTAGCACAAAATGAGTGATCGACGATTTCGTGTCAAATAACTCGTGACAAAATTGAATTTTGACCGATCCCGTTATTTTGTTCGAAGTCATACACATACAAATAAGGTGAAGCTAAGCATCATAATAATCAATTATATAGTGCAAGTACGCGTTCCATCTTGTAGTTATGTACTACCTCCGTCCCATATTGGCTGTTCACTTTCAATTTGACACGATTATTAATAAAGTGGTTGAAAAGTAAAAGTTGTGGTTGAGATTTGAGTAGAATAAAGTGAAATGATAAAGATCACATATATTTCTTGAAAAAAAAAGAAACAAGACATTCATTTTAGGACAACCCAAAACGAAAAGTATACCAACCAAAATGGGACGGAGGGAGTATCTGGGTGTGTCACCAATTTGTTCACATTTCCATATACTTCCTATAATATAATAAGCTGTTAAGAATACATTCAAGGGCATTAGTTGTGGGCTTGGTTGGGGTTAAACATAAATGTATAAGTCCTTTTAATCTCATTTTGCAAACATTTGTATAACAAAAATCTTTCACGTTTCGCCTGGCCTGAAAGAGGCATTCGATATATTCTCCAAAAAAGATAAGTTCTATATTTTGTTCCTTCAAACATATTCTTAATTACGACTCCTATCTTACTACACTATATTAGTATATTACTATGCCTGCCGCCCTGCCTCATTCCTTGATCCTTATATAGTCCTTGCTAGTTGCTACTATGGAGTATTAAATACTCATAATATATTAGATAGTCAACAGTAAAAATTGGATGGCTTGCCAACGTGCCCATATGATAAAGTTCGAGAATATATCAAATTATCAATACAAACTATCCGTTGTAGCCTACCGTATAACAGAATCCGTAAATAATTGGATAGATTCAGAATTTTTTGTATAGTTTGGTCTAATCATATTTACGTGTAATTTGGTTAGATTTGATTTAACATAACCAAGGCTCATTTAATCTAATCTAGTTTGTTTAATTTGATTTGATTTGAGAGTAAAAAAAAATCAATTAAAAGCATCCTTAAATTTCTTGATATAATATTTGAGTGAGGATGAAGGTAGTTCTATATCAAATTTATTAAATTAGTACCGCTAAACAAGTTAGAAAAATATCAATTTTTCATTGTACTACGAAATATGAATTCAAATAGTGAATATATATGCAAAACAAAATAGGACACGGTACTATTTCGTAATTTTTCTGTAAACGTTATCATAGACGTACTTCACACTCCATAATTTTTCTGTAAACGTTTTCATTGTACTTAATATTGAAAACATAACCATGCTACTATATACCAAGTCTATAAGAGTTAAATCTATAAGTCTACTGTAAATCTTTTTTTTTTTGGAATAATGTGAAACTTGTGTATTACAACGTACATTTATTATATAAGCTAGATTTAATAATAGATTAGGTAGAAAGTGAGCTGAAAGATTTGTAAAAAAAGTCATATCTATTTAGGGCTTGTTTGAGTATTGAATTTTCTACCCAAAATGCCAACTTTTTAAAGGGGAAAACGCTGCTTATATAGCAGTGTGTTGGGGTACAAACCACCAAAAACCAAACTACCCCTTAGCTAATGGCTACTACTGTTGGAGGTATTGGTCCTACCAAGGCCTCCCTTCCATTTTATTATTGACTTGCACCCATGTTTACTCCCACTTTGATACCTTCTTTTGAATCTCTCCTAACCAATTATATGGCCATTTTGACTTATGTGGAGTGACCCCAAATGAGTTGTCCGCTGCCTCCTCCTTTGTCTTTGTTTCACCCGTGAGTGTCCTTTAGTGTTGGCCAGTCTATTATTTAGCAGCTCTCTTCTTCCTTGTGAGCTTGTCCTGCGTGAGAGAAAATCCAGAGAGCAGACCCCTTCTCCTTTCCTTTGTGTGTAAGTTGAGAGAGGCACCTTAGTGGTGGAGATAAAACATGGTGTTGTGTTATGGTCTAGCCTAGGGTGGTGTATGTGAGCCTATTGGGGAGGTTGTAGACCTGAGCCGGAAAGAAATCGACTCCCAACAGTGGTATCAGAGCTTGTGTTGTCGTCGCCGTTGATTTAGCCGGATTCTGCCCTCCGCCGCCGTCCGCCGCCGTGCTCCGCCGTACGCCGGCCGCCGCCGTTTCGAGGTCTAGAGGACTGTTACTCGTGGCTGGAGGTCCGCTCGCCACTGAGAAGCCTCGCTGGTGCTTTAGCCAACCAAATCCGTCCGTCCGTCATTTGTTGAATTCGGAGCTCGTGGGTGAAGGTCGCCGCCGGAGCCGCCGTCCTCCGTCGCAACTGGTTGCCATCGCAGAGAGCTCATAGAAATCCGAGTGTAGCTAGGTTGTTGAGCTCCTTCGTCGTTGGAGCCTCCGTCCACCTAGATTTCGTATCCGGAAAAGATCGAGGCCTGGATTTTGGATTTGAAGACCGTCGTCTGCGAGCTAAGGACTGTAATTGCGCAGAAGCTGGAGCGGAGGGTTTGAAAAGGAGGCATTCACACGTGGAGTTAGTGGACTTTGGGCTGCTCATTTGTTGGGCTGCTCATTTGTTGCGTAGAAAGGTTGGAAAATAACAAGGGAAGGAAGGAGTTGTCTGCTCAACTTGGCCTGGACTTGGAGCAGAGGAGTTTCGGTCAACTGCTCAGTCAAACATGGTCAACGGATAGTCAACAGGCAGTCCACTCCAGTCAAACCTTCCTAAAAAAAATCCCAATTTTTAAAATTGGGTGGGTAAGGTCGAAACGCCTCTCCTAGGGTTTCGCTCCGGTATTTTGACTTTTATCCCTTTTATCGCTTTTGTAGTGATTTTTTAATCTTTTATTGTGTAGAAATTATGTTTTAGGTTTATTACTGTTTTTAAATTGATTGAATTGTTGTATTGTGTTTGTGCTGAAAATTTATTATTTATTTGTGCTTATACGGAAGAACAAGGGGTTTGAACTTGAGTTTGGTGCTCATTAATACTCCCCACGTATTCGTGCTAGTTGCTCCGTATAGTTGTAGCCTTATAAATATTTAAATTGTTTTTCAGCGAAATTTACATTTTATTTTGTTGCTTGTTTTTCTATGTGAAAATGTCTGCTTATAATCAGTATGGTATGGCTCCATTTAATGGAAAATCTGATTTTAGCATTTGGAAGCAAAAAATTAAATGTATTTTAATACAACAAAAATGTTTTAAAGCAGTTGGCGAAACCTATTTAATTTCTGACACAGAAGAGAAAAGGGCTGAAATGAATGAAAATGCATGTTCTGTGATTTATTTGAACTTATCTGACTCTGTGATTAGAAAAGTTGGAATTTTAGAGAGTGCTAAAATTCTGTGGAATAAATTGAATGAACTGTATACTGAGACCTCTTTGCCTAACCGGATATTTTTACTTGAGAAATTCTTCAAATTTAGACTAGATATGTCTATAGATATTGAAGAAAATCTAGATGTTTTTACCAAACTTATTTCGGATATTAAGTTGTGTGGTGATAAGCATATAGATGATTATTCTCCCATTGCTCTTTTAAATGCTATTCCTGATTCCTTTAGTGATGTGAAATCTGCTATTAAGTATGGTAGAGATAATGTGACTCTTGACATTGTGGTTAATGGTCTTAAGAGTAAGGAATTAGATTTAAAACAGATGGGTGAGGGTAGAAAATCCGAGGAAGTTATGCATGTGAGGGGTAGAGAAAATAATAGTAGACGACATAGATCTAAGTCTAGGTCTAATTCGAGACGTTGCTATTATTGTCATGAACCTGGTCATTTCATAAGAGACTGTCCTAAATCTAGGAAAAATGAGCATAGTGAGCATGCTAATTTGACTACGTGTGAAGATGATTTAGGTGATGTTTTTATGACAAATCTATGTGATTATGACTACTTGAGTTCTGTGATATCTGATTCTTTGGGTAAATCAGATTGGGTGGTAGATTCTGGTTGTAGTTTTCACATGTCCCCTTTGAAAAATGTGTTTTCAAACTATAGAGAGATTGAGCATGGCTTTGTGTCTTTAGCAAATGAGAAGAAATGCAATGTGCTAGGAATAGGAGATGTATGCCTTAGGTTTTCTTCTGGTTATGTGCTTACTTTGAAGAATGTTAGGCATGTTCCTGAGCTATGCTGTAATTTGCTATCTTGTGCATCTCTTGAAAATGATGGTTTGAAGGGAAAATGGGGAAAGGGAATCATGAAAGTTGTGAAGGGTTGCTTAGTTGTTTTCAAAGCTGAGATGAAAAACAACTTGTATGTTTGTCATGCTGAACCCCTACTTGATTCTGTGAATTGTGTGCAACCCTGTGTGCTAGGAAAACAATCTAGAGTTGGTTTTCCTGATCTGCCTAAGTGTACTAATGTGCTTGATTGTATTCATGCTGACTTGTGGGGTCCTTATAGTGTTTCCACTCATGGTGGGAAAAATTATTTTCTGACGTTGATTGATGATTTTTCAAAGAAAGTGTGGGTTTTGTTGATTGAAAATAAATCTGAAGTTTTTGATAAGTTTAAAAACTGGAAAACCCTTGTTGAAAAACAAACCGGTAAGAAAATAAATTTTTTAAGGACCACTGTCAGTTTTGATTTCTATGATGATCAGCTTGGTGATTTATGTGATACTTGGGGTATTTCTATGCATAAATCTGTTCCCTCCACACCCCAACCGGATGGGGTTGCTGAGAGGATGGTTAGAACTTTATTAGAGAGGGTGAGGGCTATGTTAGCTTCATCTGGGCTCTCTAATAAGTTCTGGGGGGAAGCTATTTGTTATGCTGTTGATTTGGTTAATCTGTCCCCGTCTGTTCCCTTAGGAGGGAAATGCCCTGAATCTGTGTTCATGGGCAAACCACTTGACTTGCCAAATTTGAGAGTGTTTGGTTGTGCTGCTTATGTGAATCGTCTGAATGTTAAATCTGAACCTAGGACTAAGGAATATGTTTTCTTAGGATATCATGATTGCATGAAAGGTTATAGGCTTTGGTGTAGGAGTGAAACTTGCTTCAATGTGTTGATGAGTAGAAATGTCATTTTTGTTGAAAATGAATTTCCTTGCCTGCTTGTTTCTCCTGATGTTGCTCCAAATGAGGTGGAGCATTTGCCTGTTGAAGTTCATTCCGATTTACTTGTTGAAACCAAACTCAAATTTGTGGATGAAAATGTTTTTCATGGTGAAAATAGAGAAAATAATATTTCTATTAAGGTGGAGCATGATGTGAATGTTGTGTGCAATATGCTTGAGTTGCGTGATTGCCATGTTATTAGAGATAGAGACATTAGGAAGCATGTGAGAAGTTATATGTGCAATGTGTTTGACTATATTTCCTCTGAGTTTGCTTTAAATGTGCTTAATTCTCTTTTAATTAAAATCTTTGTGATATTTGGTATGCTATTTTCTTTGTGTTTTGAAAATGTGATACCAAGTGATTATGTGAGCTCTACCTGTGCTAGTTATAGAAATAATATTGTTTCTTTTATTTTCTTTGTGCTTGTTATGTGTGGTTGTTGGATTAGTTGGAATCCCCAACTTCTCTCGGATGCTTGCTTGCGTGGTCTATTAACATATGTTGTGCTTGTTAATAGTTTTGTGATGGTTTTGGTTCTGAACTCGAGGACCGATTGGTAGAGTTCAGTCCATCGTGAAGTGGATTTGCATGGTAAGCTTGGTCCGAAAGGGAACTTTGGTTCTCATCTATTACTTGTATGATCGCAATGATGTACTTGTAATAATCCGGCGATGATGAGTCTCACAACTTTGTATTGCTACTCTACACCACCTAGGACCAATAAGGTGGAGAATGTTGGAGGTATTGGTCCTACCAAGGCCTCCCTTCCATTTTATTATTGACTTGCACCCATGTTTACTCCCACTTTGATACCTTCTTTTGAATCTCTCCTAACCAATTATATGGCCATTTTGACTTATGTGGAGTGACCCCAAATGAGTTGTCCGCTGCCTCCTCCTTTGTCTTTGTTTCACCCGTGAGTGTCCTTTAGTGTTGGCCAGTCTATTATTTAGCAGCTCTCTTCTTCCTTGTGAGCTTGTCCTGCGTGAGAGAAAATCCAGAGAGCAGACCCCTTCTCCTTTCCTTTGTGTGTAAGTTGAGAGAGGCACCTTAGTGGTGGAGATAAAACATGGTGTTGTGTTATGGTCTAGCCTAGGGTGGTGTATGTGAGCCTATTGGGGAGGTTGTAGACCTGAGCCGGAAAGAAATCGACTCCCAACAACTACGAAAGTGCATTATTGAATACAAAAGTCTACCGTAAATAATACTTCGTAATTAAGTAGAAATCACACATTCCTCATATTAAATGTTTACCCTTTAATGTAACTATGTAAGATTATTTAATATAGGTGAATTGAGGTAAAGAAATTCTAAATTAGTACGTCAAAATTAAGTTGCTAAAATTTAGGTATACAATCATATACTCCGTATAATATTATATTAGTTTAGAACTTCATTTCTTTATATCCATGACCAAACTGTTTCACATTGTTTTGCACTGTTTGACACTGTTTTGATGTAGAATAATTTTCCATTTATGGAAATGAGAAGATCATTTTGGGACGGCTAAAATGAGAAGATTCCCGAGTTCAACTTTTCTTGTTTGCACGCTTTCTCATATATTGTGAATGCAATATGACGGTCGCGGGCAGACTGGTTGCCAGCTCATTGCTTCTGCGTTTGAAGTTTTGAACCTTATTACAAATGTACACGTGTTGTTTTTAGCTTTGGTACATGTGGATATTCTAAGAAATTGTTCACATACATTGATGCCGTAAGTATTTTGTTTTGATGTTTGGTTACATAGCTGCCTAATAAATCACTTTAACCACATGTACCTAAAATTGCATTAGATATGAAGTTTACTTTTAAACTACAAAAGAGTCGTTACATTGTTTTATAAAAGTATAAAAGTATTTTACCATGCACTCCTTCCAATCCTCCATGTAAAATATTTTAGATGACATTAATGCAAAATGTTTTAAAAATATAATGAGCAACGTTATTAAGGAGATAAAGAGCCGATGCTCCGATATTTCCTAGGGCGTAAGCCGCTAGGCCTCTTCTTCCAATTTCGATCGCTACGATCGAAGATCGGGTTTCCTTTGTTTGTTTCGATTTTAAACAGAGAGACCACAGGCGGCCGGCAAGAGTCGTGCGGTTTGGTTGTGGTGACGAATACCGTAAAAGCAGTTTTGGATCGTGATCTTGCTCGGGTTATGGACTCCTCGCTTGTGTCACTGGTTTCGATTGGGAAGGTAAGCATGGATTCCTGGTTCATTCGCGCTATAATCATGGGGATTAAGAAGATGTCAATGGAAATAGTGGTGGTGAGTTTGCAAGGAATGTTTCAAGATGAAGGGTTGATGATCCGTCCCCCTCCTGAGCCACCACCGAGGCGTTGGATGGTGGTGGGGAAGAAAACTTGTCATGGTGTTTTTATTATTGTCTGCTTTGGTTATCTTAATTTAGGTTGTTTTATTATGTTTGTTTTTTGTGTTTTCATTCCTTGTAAGATTCTTGCATTAAGGTTGGGGGAGGGAAAGTCTGTGGTAACCATCATTGGCTTTAAGTTGCCAATTTTGGTGTAGCGAGTTATACTGCTTTTTTACAGGTGGTTAGCTCTCAGTCTCGGCCACGGGCGGATGGTTATTTGTGGTTCTTTTCTAGTTTTGTACCCTTGCTGAATGCTATTTTTATGAATTAAGCCTTCTTCAAGTAAAAAAAAAAATATAATGAGCTACGTTTTATATTAAATGATTAAATGATGGAAACAAACGACTCTAACTTTATAGATCATACGTTTCATACTAATTATTTGGCATGCCTTCAAAGTGTCATAAATATTATACTGTATTAAGTGTAATTCTGCATCTTTTGTTTTCGCTCCTCTTTGGGTTTTGGTAATTCATGTAAAGGCTCCATCTTTTAATAAAATTTGGTAAATGTTGCTCAACATTTACCGCACCAAGGGGTGTTTTCTTTGAGGATTAAAAAAATTATACTGTATTAAGTTATACGGAGTACATTTTATGAAGATATGACCCACTTAAGTATATCTAAATCTAAAATCTTATAATACTCAATGAGGGTTAGCAGTTAGGGCATTTTAGGGATGGTAAAAAATCTTGGTGTAGTCTTCCAGCTTTATGAGGTTGTGCACTGTGTTCTAATATTTGTACTCTTCTAACGGAACTTCTTCTCCCGTTTTATTCCCGTCTAATGGCTCCGTTCATTTGCACCTCTTAACTCAACCTCAAACGACCTCCCAGCTTCAGACGACATGCACATGCCTTCGTCTCTCTCTCTCACCACCTCGTCCCACCCGCGCCATAACATCAGCAGCTTCTCTCGTTGTTTCTGTTTTGTCGTGCCAACCGTCCAGGTATGTTTCAATTCCGTTTCTCCGTTTTTACTCAACTCTGTACATCTCCTTCCTCGTTAATATCCCATATTATTATGTTATTGATTACCTTTGAACTGAACCCATTGCGTTAGATCTTCATTTTGAAGAAGGGGGCCTTAAACGTGAAGTGATTAACTTGAAAATGAAATTCAGACACATTCAATGCCACGGCCGTTATTACATTAACCCTTTAAGCTTTCCCTACTTTGTTTTTCTGCAATTTGATTGACATTATTTTTCCATACGATATGCCATTTTTACATATGGGTAGTATGCCATTAAGAGGATTTCCTAACTAAGGGCCAACTAAATGTCAAGATGTTAAACCTTATGGTTGATTAAGTTGAGTAAATAAAATCGTATGTTCAAAGTCTATGGCCAGAGGCCTACAACATTGAAAGAAGTAGAAATGCTCAAAGATACCTCCACAGAAACTACCTCCATAGAAATTACCACAACTGGTAGTATAAATATTGCTCCTGGGAAGCCTATATATAGGTCTTTTTGGATGTAAATTTACTGTTTTACATAGAATAACTGATAAAATAAATATCGCTCCTTTCAAGTATATAGAACACAAAAATGATACTTGTGAAACATCCTACACTTCAACTAATTTCAAAGACTGATTGAAGGGGCATTTTATGTTTTCCTGAAAAGTTACTTCATACATATGGAATGATACCAAAGAGTTAATTTAAAACTTCAAAAAAGTAAAAAACTTCAGAATAGTTAATATAAATGAGAAGTTCGTATTTAGACACGCATTTGATGCGTGTTGGGATCGGCTTTTGATGGTTTTCCTAGCTTTAAGGTGTTACATGTCTCAATTTTAGCTCAAGTTATGTTTAACAGGCGTTGGTTCGAGTTTTGTGTCATTTGGAGTCAAAATCAGAGAATTTGAGCCCGGCACCGACGCTTGAGAAGCAATCGGGATGAGTTGAGAAGCATTCGAGATTGATTTGAGAGTTTTGGAGGTCACCGGGAGGTTCACGATGAAGTTTTGATGAAGGAAGAGCTTTTGGATCGACCATGGATGTATCCGGGAGCGAACGGGGAAGAAAATAGCAAGAAAAAGGTTCTGTTCCTCTAGAAGGCTAAAATGATATATGCTCTCTTTTCATTGTACTTGCTGCAACCCAAAAGAGATGATGAGTTCGCTATAGTACGAGAGTGTATTAGAAAGAAGGAGACTGGAGGCAAGCTACACTGAACGCATTTTTTATTGGATTCATGCCGTACAATTTATTTTTTATGTTTGCAACTAAGAGTAGAATTAAATTTTGTTACTCTCTATTTCATTCTTTCTTTTCGGCTAAAAAGGATGCGTGTTTCAGTGTGCTGAACTAAAGAAAGCGTTCAAAAAACTTCCTAGAGTCCAGCATCTTTATGCGCGATTGTCCGGGAGGATTCAAAGTGAAGATGATGAGGTAGTTCTTATTATTGATTACAGTTTGTGATTTGTCTATTGTGTATTTGTGTTTATAATTTACCAGGCACTTTTGGATTTCTAGGATCAACTGAGACTCGATTTTTAAACACATATATATTTATTTATTTATTTATTTATGTATTTATTTATTTTTTTATTTTTTTAAAAAGTAAAAGTAAAATTTATTGAAGAAACAAATAAAAGTACAATAAAGAAGAAAATGCTAGGAGAGAAAACAAAAATAAAAATAAAATAACAATACCCAACCCAGAGTAAAAATAAGAGAACCCTCCCTCCCTAATTAAATAAGTCTTGAACAACACTTAAACCTCTATTCAAGATTGAGATCTAGTCTTCATAAGATGCGATCTTTGGTTCTTTTTATACATTCTTTTCTGAGTGTTCAGATTTTAGGTAAGTTGTTGTCCCGCATGACTAGAAGAGCTTTTTGGAAAATAGTCTCATTCGCATCAGAAACCCAAAGATCTTCCATCGTCGAAATAGGAACCCTCTTATCGTACTTTGAGATGTGACCAAGAAATTTATCTCCTGAAAAGGTGGAGTGATGATTTCCACAAAACTCCTCACGGTCAAAAGCTTCATAAAGATTGCATTCATTGTTAGCGCATCCATAATCGGTGTGCCAACACCTAATACCTAAGTCGGTTGGATTTGAAACCCCAATTTTTTCCTGATTAGATATCGCTGATGGATCCTCCATTCTAGAATTTAGAGGATTAGTACCCAAAGTAGAGACAAGGAGTCTCTCAATTTCGTGAAGTAGATATTGAGAAAGTGAGTTTACCCCATTTGTCAAGGTAGACTGGAAAAAAAAACTTTAAGATCAGATTCATGATTTTTCATAGAGCTTTGATCCTCAACTGCAACCAAATCCAGTGTATGATCTAATGAAGCTAATTGATCAACATCAGCCTGTAATAAGACACCCGATATGGATTGTGTGATCTCACAAGAATGAGGAAAAGTCATGTCCACGGTCATAAGCTCCAAATCAAGGTTCATACCCTCCTCCGAGAAGTCCTCCCTTGTAACATGTTCGCAATTGATCTTGTAATTCCTGCCAAAAAACTATTGATCCCTGATCCATTTCAACCTTTTGGTATAAATAAATTATCTCGTCCATTCTCAATTATGCGAATAAAACCTCCAAAGAAATCTGCATCATAAAGCAAAATAAAAGATTTATCCAGTTCAAGTCTAGTACCCAAATTACCTGGCAGAATTTTGAGAATGGAATTCTTCAACCATTTAGCCCTAGCTATATCGAGGTCAATTGAAGATGTAATTCCATTCTTTCTTTCACAAATTTGCAGAACGTTACAATCAATAATAGTAAATCAAAAAAAATTTGCTTTCAATTGTAACCTCAAACCCATTTGATCGCAGAAAATCTGGAGGTCGAAAATTTGATCGTAAATGAAGATCCCGTTCAGAATTCTTCACAACTGATGAATTCCATGTCCCCTATCGCTGATTTGATGTCCAGAATCGCCCATGAGCTCTCTGGTTGCTGTGTTGGTCTTTGGAGAAGAAAGGCCGGTGGCTTTGTCTCTCGCTGCAGCCACTCGACCTCCAGGCAGGCCTTCCGTGACGGAAGCCCCTGAAACGCGAAGGAAAAAGATCTCGTTCAAAGATTGCTGGCGAAGCCCTAAAACCCCACCAGCATCGCATAGATGCTCTCCACGAATCCCCATAGTTAGGGGTGGGCACAAAAAACCGTAACCGTATAACCAAACAAAAAAACCAAAAAAACGATGTATTCTTCGGTTAACCGTACCGTATTTTTTAAAACTCACGGTACGGTTAACCAACCGCAAAGAAAAAACGGTACATGATACGGTTATGGTTAAAATTATGTTAACAACGGTTAACCACTGGCTCAAATTTGAAATAAATACTGGAAAAAAAATACCGGTACATGATTTGTACTTCGTAACATGCGACGTACTTAATTAGTTGCTGCGGTGACAATAAATAGTGTTGCTCCGTAAGTGGAACACTATATGGAGCATATATAATGTTGCACCCCCACTGGGACGTGCTTGTTTTTTTAAAGGAGCTCTACGTACTTAATTAGTTTTTAGGAATATATGATTAATTTTAAATCTTTTGTATTGCAGTATATATTTGAAGAGTTTACTAGTTATACTAAAAACAGGATGAGCTTTCGTCCGTAGAGTATACTTTGATCTACTGGCCAGTACTATGAATTATTATTATTATTCAATATTATGCACATCACCGCATATAATTAAGCATATTGATATTCCAAAAAGAGAATGAAATAAGCATATCCAGTGAACTAATAAACTATCAATAGAAATTTTTACAATAGTTTGTCATTTAAAAATTTGTATGTTTCAAAATTTAAAAACAACAGTTATGGTTTATTGGTTAACCGTTAGCGGTTAACCTAAATATTGGTTAACCGGCACCCGGTTAACCGATGTTATGGTACGGGTAACGGTATATAAAATTTAGTAACCGATAACACGGTTAACCGAAAATTGGTTAACCAAAATGTGGTTAACCAACCGTGCCCACCCCTAGTGGCCATAGTCCCGTTCGTCAAGTCTGCCCCACGGTAGTGTCTATGTCTCATGTAGAACGGCGATGCCCCTTGTCGCAGTGTCTTTCCCCAGCCCTTCATCCGATTTTTTTCACTCTTTGTTGAGGATATTCATTGACTCAAAACCGGATGGACCTGGACCACAGTAAACAATGAAAACTCAAAAAATGGACCTAAGGCTGGACCGATAAATAAGAGGTTTGTGTTTATGTCAGAATATGTTAAGTTTTATTGATTTATTCATGATGTACTAACACATGAGTACATCATCATGTGTTAAATATAGAAAAATATTTAACACTAATAAGGGAAATGACTTCACTAAAAAGATAAAACTAAAAGCAGTTTGAAATTGGATAAATTATGAGTAAGTTTTTTTAACCAAATGTATTCTTTTTCACTTTGTGCTTCTCTTGTGGGTTTCGGTGGTTTGGATTAATTTGTAAAGAATTTTTTATGACTTAGCGGTCTTAGCCTTCAAAATAAGATTATTCTTAATGTATGTTTATAAATTATGGATCTTTAGTGCAATCAATCTTGAGTAGAAAAATGCAAACACGTGCATTCCAATGATCAATTCTAAAAAAAGGCTGTAATCGATCTCTTAAGAGACCAAGTATCCTCACTGCAAGGGGCAAAAAGGAGCCGAGGTCTCACTTGATCTTCTTAAGAGAACAAGTTCCATGACATATAGCCAATGTTTTTGTTTTATAAAATCAATTTTTAGTTGTTTAATAATATGGTTATGAAATTATAATCTTTTGCTTATGTTCTGAATCAGGTATGTTTGAAACATGGTTAATACGACAAAGGCCTGCCAAATTGAAATGAGGTCAAATTTTTAAAACTCTCGGAATATAGTTTGTGGGTTAGTGGGTGTATGTACTATGAAAAATGGTTGTACCTTTTCTTCTCACTTCAAATTTTATTTCACTTTTGTTCTTTTTGCATGGAGTTTGAATCTCATAACGGCCCTACAAGTATACTCTATATATCCACATAATATTGGGCATTTACTTGATCACGCAATGCGCGAATAATGTACTAGTGTACACATATGAGAAAATTTGGTTCACGTGAGAAATGATAACAAATCTCAATCGTTAAAAACTTGAAATTATAATATTGCATTAAAATAACTTCATGTTGTATATTAGGATTTATTTTTTTGCAATGTTACACCAAACATTTTCGTGTTGACTAGGATTTGACGATGTTGCACTAAAACAGTTCATGGTGCACAAAAGAGGTAGGAGTATAATTTTTAAATTCCTTAAGTTGCAATGAAATGAAAGAGAATAACCATCAATTGGATCGAGAGGTGTTCAAGTGCCAAGATATGATAATAGTCTCCTTAAGATAAACTTCTTCCTAAAAAATGAATGCTATTTTGCCGGCCTGAGTTGCACAAATAAAACAGATTATTAGAATAAAAGGTATTGGGGTTGGGTCAATAGATTTGGGCTTAAGCTTTTTAGGTAATTGGGCTGAGAGGGAATTCGGGCTTTAGCTTATGATGTCGGGGGTATGAAACTAAGGAGTGAGAACTTGGTTTATAATGATTTCGGGATGAGGGTTCTCGGGTATGCTTTGGGTAAGAGACTTTGGGTAGATTTTCGTTTGAGGGATCTCGGAGATGTGGCTTTTAGGATTTCGGGTAGACATAACACAATTCTAGTTTTTATTAATAATTAAAACATAAAAGTAATAGAGTAATTTTATTTATAATAAAATTCTTAAAAGATAAAAACACGAAAATAAATACGTAGTATTAGGTAAAATTAATATAAATAGAAAATGAGAAAAATAAAGAAATTAATGAAACTTAAAAATTACAATAATATATAAAAACCGTAAAAATTATGCAGATCTCATATGTCGCTACCTCAGCCACCTAATAGAACCACCGGCTTCGACCACCGAAAAAATATCAACATGCAACAGTAATGCTATCTTGGTAGTTTAAGAGAAATATATTTAATTGACATGCATCAAAGATTAAAGTGACATGTTTTATACAAGGTGGGAAAAAAAAATCCAATTGGAGGTGACAATACTAGGAGGTGGCAAAGGCGGTAGAAAAGGCTTCTATATCTTTTATTTTTATTTTTTGTGTTTTATTTATTCTATTTATTTCTAAGTTTTTATAGAATGAGATTTTCTGAATGCTTTGAATCGGGGTTGGAGAGTCCTAGTCCCATGAATTATAGGTTAATATTCTCATAGATATACACATATATTAAATTCTCTCAACTTGAAATCTAAATAACAATTACGTGCCTATATGCAAAAGCACTGATGAAGTTTACGTCTGAATGTAGTGAAAAGTGTATTTAAATGCGGGATTGGGACTCCTTTAAGTTTGTTATGTTTTTTTTTTTACAAAAAATAAAAATAATCATTGGTGAGTTTGAAAAAGAGAAAATGGCCAAAATGGTACATGAAGTTGTTTCAAGTGGAGTAAGTAGTACTCCATCTTACATTTGAAACTACAAAGTACATGAACTTGCATTTTTAAAGTTGATTAAGTACATTTACTATGTTAAAACGTTAAAACGACTGATCTGGCCAAACTATTAGTTTGTAGGGGAAAATAAATAAAATGCCCTCAACTTTGGGTAAGTGTGATCTCCACACCCTATACTTACCTTTGTTAATTGAGTACCTCCTACTTCATTTAATTGTGCGATTAGCACCCTATTTCTGAAATAAACTTTGCTGACTAGAACCAGGTGGCAAAATGTGTCAAGATTGGCAAAGTACCCAAATCAAAAACTGAATTCATTATAGCTCACAATACCCTCTTGGGAAAGAACTCTCCCTAATTTTACATATACAAATGTGTTCTTATGCTTGCCTCTTCCACTGGTTAGCAAAACACTATATCAGCACCGCAGCAATGAATGAGGAAACGATGTTATAGCTCAGTGCGATAATACATGAATGAGGGAAATGATTTGACACTTTAGCTTAGGGCGACGATGTTTCATTCAGTGCAACCAAGACCCCCAGCAAATGCTTCGACACTGTCGGCAAATACAGCACCTTGAGCTTCATGGAAAATTCTGAAATGCCTCTCTTCAGGATACTCTATTCGAGGATTTTCATCAATCATCGTCTTCTCTATACTCTAAAATGCCTCTCTTCAGGAAACACTACACCATAAATGACCTATAACAACACTAATTTAAAGTGTTGCTTCACAATTATGCATATACATTAAGAAAAATTGAGCGAAGGCATCACTAATTTAGAAATGTTGCAATAGATATGTTTATAAGTGTTAAATATACTCTAATGCAACATTAGTTTAATAAGTGTTGCAATTGATATGTTTGTAAGTGTTAAATATACTCTAATGCAACATTTTTAATAATGTTGCACTACCATGAACTTTTTCGAACTAAAGTTACACTTTAGTAGTTTCGATCATGTAAGATTGTAAGGTAAATCTAAACTTGTTGCTTCCGTTCCTTCTAAATGTTCTCATTGTAAAATGACACGATTATTTAGGATAAGAAATTTGTGTGTTTTTTCTATAAAAAAAAATTGTTGTACTGATCCTCCCTAATACCTAGCCTTGCCCAATACCATTACAACTATTTTTCATCTAATTTTTTAGTTTTAGTAATAAAATATATTTTAAATATAATTTTTTGTAATTCAGTATACTCAACCATTTTTCTTAAAAAAAACCATTTCAGTAAAAGCTTCATCAATTTTATCAGATTAAGAGCCCGTTTGGTAGCACAAAAATCAGCTGATTTGGCTGTTTCTGTTGAAATTTTTGAAGTTTTGGTCGAAGTGACTGCATTGGCTGATTCTGATTATTTTGAAATATATTTTATTAATAAATGAAGAAAAATTATATATAAAAATAGCTAAAATAGTCATCTACAGTTACTTCAGTCAATACAGCCAGAAAAGTAACTCCAACCTTATTTTTCCTTTTTATTACACAATTCAATGCATGAAAGTAAAATTTACGTGTTTGGTGAAAATATTATGCTTTTCGTTTTGTATGTATTCGGGTTGATAAAAGTATAGCAGGGAAGGTGAACTTTTAATAATTTATTCCCACACAACCTTTCCTTCTAGACATTTTGGGAAAATCGGAGTTGGAGTATAGTCACACCGCGGCCGCCAACCCTCTCCATCCTTCATCTCCTCTAATTTGTTGCTTCTACCGCAACCTCTTTTCCAAGGAGCGGGACTTTTCTCTTATTCTACTGCTATTCTATTCTATTTCACCCTTAACAACGGTAGTCTGCAGCATCGTATTCGCTCTCCAGCCCAAAAATCACACAGTTCTTTTTCATATGGCTACTCCGAAGCACACGACAAGGCTAGGGTTGTGTATATTATTTCAAATTTGGATTGGTGTTATGTTTTTATATCTTATACGAAGTATTTCAAGTGGAAAGGTAATTTCAGGTTTCAATTAAGTCGATTTTTCTCCTAACTTTAGATGTTTGAATACGTGCACATGTAGAATGGATAGGTGACTGTAATTTCTTTGTATATATGGTGCCCGCCCTTAGAGGCTACATAATATTTGGAATTGCAGGATAAGTATTTTGATTGTCATAGAGTCAAAGGTGGATTTGAGTGTCGATTTTGCAAAGACAGACTTCAAAAGCCTCAAAGTAAGTTCCCTATTTGGTCTTTCCTTTTTAACTTGTTTGAGTGTGCTTTAACTTAAAACTAATTCTCTTTTGTTTTCAAATTATAAAATGTAATTGTCTGGGTCCATCACTTTGCTTATCTTTTGAAGCTAATATTGATCAATTCAATTTTGTATTTGACTATTAAAGTGTGGACAATATGTTATAAAGAAATTGGGGGTGCTTAGGTTCCCAATTCCAACACAGGTTACACAGTAGGATGAAAGTTGCTCACAAATGACAACAATGTTATAGATTATGTTCTTGTGCATCAAAATGAGGATGCCCCATGATTTTTGTATTCACATGATGAAACAATCTCTCCAATGTGATCAAGCCCCAGCCAAATCTGATTGTAAGACCAAGTTATTTGATTTTTCTGGTATTCATTTTCCATTATAAGCATAATATTACGTTTAATGTTTCATAGTGGAATAGTGATTTGCATATGTATAGGATTAGAGAATCTACTAATTTACTAAAGAGAAGATTTGTCACTTTGAAGATGGTTCAACATCATCAAAAACTAAAGGAAAAGGGAAAAAGGGGAAAGGTGCATCATGTCAAGGAGAAAATTTACTTTCCAGATTAGGATCCTAATTAGAATAACAAATTCTAATGAATCTGTGATTCTGTGAAAACTCCATTGTTTGGGCGATGAATGACAAAGGTATATGTTTATTTAATTACATAATTACTAAAATTACTCGATAAACTTTGCCTTTTGTTTATCTTTTGCCAATATGAATCCATTCCAGGAAAATCATGTGCTCAAGAAAAATCATGTGAACAAACCATAATTGAATTGTTGTGGTCCAGAAAAGAAAACTGCAGGGCAAAAGAAGCCATTTCAAATTACAATAGAATTTAAAAAACGCCAACAGAAAACCAAGGTATGAAAAAGCGAGTTAAGAATTATAGTTTACATTTCTGAATTTATTTACTTGTTAACTTTTTTTTATTTCAGGTGTTGATGGTGTGTGCTCTTTGCTCTCAACTATGGAGGATTGGAGGCTGACACTCATTTTGGCAGCAAGAACATATTAGTAGTTTTGGCTTTTAAGATCATGAACTTTTTGAACCTTTGAGTTGTAATTGCTATGTTACATATGTATGAATGGATGACAGGTTTTATTTTTGGATTTTTTTAAAGACCTAGTTATTAGATAAAGTAAAAATGTTCGACAGTTCGTGTATTCTTGCAGGTGATCACTGTAATCAAGTCATTAATAGCAGGTGCAATAGTTGTAAATAAATGTCTGAATTGGGAACACCTAAAGATGACTTACGAGAGATACGAGTGGTCCTATTTGAACTTAAACTGTGACAATTTGTATAAAAATTGTGGTAAAATAATAATAAAATAATGCAATTTATTGAAAAATGTTGCTCCAAGTGTTGCAATATATCAAAGTATTGCATTTGCATATAAATGTGTTGCTTTAGTTTTTCTGGAGAGTGATGTTGCCTTAGCCAAACAAGTTGCAACATATTTTAGTTTGTTGCTATAGCCATCTATGGCAACGGCCAAAATTTCAACACTTTAAAAATTGGAAAAGTGTTGTCATAGATTCCTAAGGCAATACATTTGGATGTAATGCAACATTTTTTAAGTATTGCCTTAAGCTATTTATAGTGTAGTGAAAGAAGGTTTCAAAATTTCAATAGACTTTCTCAAATCAGAAGCGTACTTTTACAGTCTTCAAATGAGAAATGTGTACATATATAACTTACGTGAGAAAAAAATGCCAACTAGATGTTTCCTTTGCCACTTAATATCACATGGGGTACTATTATCTCTACTTCCGCGTAGTAGGGGGTATTTTTTAAACTTTGGTAAGTATGGGGTGGAGATCTCACACTTACCCAAAGTTGGGGGTATTTTATTTATTTCCCCCTAGTTTGTAATCTATAAACTCTAATTTCCTCCAGTCCACTCGTTTCCACCTTTGTCGAACTGAAGCAGTACAAAGAATTTTTTTGAAAAAAAGTTACACTAAAATTTGACTTTAAATTAAAGCATTTTTTAAATTTGGGGTAGGCCAAGGCTTGGGTTGGCCCCCTCTAGCTCCGCCCGTGCTGCTCTCCTCTCTCATCTGCTCTCCCTGCTATATCTCGCCGGCCTTTTCTTTTGTTGGCTATCGATCCATCTTTATTATAGCAAGAGAAGAAGAAAATAAAATGTAGAGCGGAGAGAAGGGAGAGCAGACGAAGAAAATATAAGATGAAGAGCGAAGGTGAAAACGAGTGGACGGGAGGAAAATAGAGTTAATAGATTATTTATTTGATGACTAGGACTGCAAAAGTATAATACAAACAGATGGTTTGGCTAGGTCAGCTATTTTAATATGACTATGACATACTACCTCCGTTCTTTAATAAATGCAACATATGAAAATTTACACTATTCACATGTTCTATTTTGACTACATTTTATTTATTACTGTATTAATATTTTTTATGAAAATAATATTGTTAAATTTGTCTCATTGTAAATTTTCAAAATCTATGTTTTTTTTAATTTTTTTACTAATACAAAATTATATATATTAATGGTCAAAGTTGTGTCTCGACAAGTGTGAAATGTTGACCGTTGCATTTATTTAAGAACGGAGGAAGTATTAAAAACTACCTATGTGTATGGACACATAGTTAATAGATGAAATATGACTCTATATTTTAATTTAGAGTTTAATATGACATTCTAAAACATTCCAGGACTTTTTTGAATAGACTGAACACATAGGTTTGAAGGATTTAGACCTTCATGGACATAAATTTCTTTTCAATACAAGAGGGGGAACAAAGAGACTAATATCTAGTAACTGAATATTTCACTTATAAATGGTTTAGGAAGCTGTTTTAAGGTGACTGGAAAGATGTGAAGGTGAGTGAGAACCATTGGTGTTGTGGGAACTGAATATAAAAGGTGACACAAGATTTATCCTGATTCAAAGGTGGTGTAATCCTCCTACATCCAGTCTCACCCTCTCTTAGATGGATTTCACTAAATGAATATACCCATTACATTTAGTGCTCAATCTATCCTTGGTCGCAGACATAGATTGTGAGATTTTTCCCAAGGAATTAGAACATCATTTCAAGTTATCCAGCCCTCCAAGGTTTTTCACTAATGGCTTTGACAAGCCAAAGGTTACTCATGTCCTTGATCTTCACATTCCTTTTGGATTTGATCACAAAGCCTCTTAGAGATTACAAACTAGTATAGTTCGCAAGAGTAAAATTAAACTACCAACTAACTAAGCTCTAATGATATTTATGTATATGACTAGTTTTTCTCAGGCGCGTTGCGCGATTAAATAAAATTCCCAATGATTTTATTTATTGAAAAATGTATATTATATGTTGATATGATATAATTGTTGTTAGTACTTGACATGTTTACATTTGTGTCAACTTAATAATTAAGTATTTATTTTTTAAATAAAAGTAAAATTACTTTGCTTCATCATTGTCATTTTTTTATGATTGTATCATCCAGGTCATCGTGAGTAGGGGTACTGAAGTCCCACACTGATAGAATATAAAAAATGTTATATTAAGATCAAGAGTTGTTCCTTCTGTTAGGTTGACCTGTATAGGATGAAACCCGATCTCCACCCGTTAGGTCTACTGATTTTCATGAATAAGGGAAGTTGATATCCGATGCTAAAGAAACTTGACATACAAGTGTCGATTATAAGAAGCTATATTTGATCAATAAATCAAATAACAAATGGATCATAACACAGACAAAAATTGCACACAACAACCAAGATTAGATCAATTAGCATTTGGTCTTTTATGCTCCACGATATCATGAACTCATGTTTGGTTTAAGATTAAACATTCAGATATAGAGCACCTTTAGAAAAGAGTTAATTACCAATATAGGAGTAAAAGGTTTACAATTTGCCAGAATAGGAGCAGTCACGTAACTCATGTTTGATAGGAGCCTATTAAGACCAAGTTGACAAAAATAACCTTCTAATATATCACGTACGCTGGTGTTTCCCTCGAAATTGAACAAACATTGAAGAGTCCAAATAATATTCACGTAGAACTTCAGCTACCCTCGCTGGTGCCGTGTGTCACTGTCGTCTCTATTGCCGCCCACCTCCGCCTCCCACACCGGCATCACCATCCGTCACCGCCGAACCGCCGTCGCTATTGGCCGCTGCCACCACCGTCCCTGGCTGTCACTGCCGCCCAATCTACGTCGCAAGTGTCAATTTCGGGGCCACCATTTCACCTCTGAGCATCGTCGTCGCCATCACAACTCTGGCGTCATTAATCTGCCATGAAAATGATTTTTTAAATCTGTCATATTATTGGCAGATTTATCTTGACATATTTGCACAAAACTGCCATAATCTTGGCAAAATATAAAGTCAACAACTAAATATTCGGTTTAACAAAATGAAACAATCACTTTAACAAATCCACCTCAATAAAAAATAAGATGTTAATGATAAAAATCAGGAAAATCAATTTACACCAAAATTTCATTATCATACTACGATTGTCAATGTCAGTGTACATTTCTGCCATAAACTTTGCAAAAAATTATGCCATCATAAAAAAATTGAGAAAATCGGGAAAATTTGAGAAATTAAACAACGGAAATACGAAACAGAAGTCCAGAAATCAACAAATTGAATGTCAAAACTCAAAAAATAGAGAAAAAGAAGAAAAATCAAAAACATAGAATAATATGAGGAAGAAGAAGGAGGAGAAGGGGAAGGAAGAAGGAAGATCAGAAGGAGGAGGAGGAGAAACCCAATTTGCGGAGAAGAAGAAGCTGACAGATATGATTTGGAGGGGAGATGAAATTGATTGATGGAGAAGGGGGGATAATGGTGAGCAAAAGGAGAGAGAAGTTGGTGAGCGGAGGATTGGACCGATGGTGGGTTAAACATAGCAGGTTAAGAATGGAATTGAAAAGTCTGTACGTTTTAAATATGAGTAATTAGTAATATGATCCTATTAACGGAAAATATATACATACTCTTATTTTAGAATTTCTCCCATGTTTTACTCCTATATGAGACAATTTCTGTTTAGAACATCCTAAGATTATAATGTGTATGTGCACAAAACAATTTTGTTTTAAATAACAACCCCCTTGGAATTTCCCATTTACATGTGAAAGCTATTGATAAAAAATTTGAAGAACAAAAGTAACAAAAAATGCAAAAAAAAAACAATTGCCAATGTGAGTATATATAGAGAATGAGGCACAATAGGAAGACGGGCTGGTAATTCTACCAGCAAGCTATACGAACATTTGTTGACTTTAATGGAACTTTAATTCTTATGACTCAATTGTTTGACAAAAATATAATTAAAACAAATATTACTTAATCAAAAACATCGATTCGGTTCATTTTGAACCGATTTTTTCCCTCCAAGAACAAATTATAAACCGATAAATGTTCAAATCTCAACTTCCGGGTCCCGTTCATGTTGGTTCGGTTCCGTTCGGTTATTTTCGGTTGGATTTTCAATTTTTCGGTTTCCGTGACAGACCTGTGCAGGCGTGCAGCCTCCCATTCTTGAATTGTCTCGTATATGAGATTTCCCAGTCGGGTGAAGATAATGCCTCCCAGGTGGTTGACGGATCGACGGAGTCAGATAGTGCTGGAGACCCGAACTACTTGAGGGTTCGACATGTTAACACGCGGGGACATCTGCAACCTATCAGTACAACAGAAGATTTGAAGCTAGTGGAGCGCTTAGTCAGCCATGACTGCAGCCTGATGCTCTTGGAATGCAGTAGGAACCTCAGTAACCCTCCTTCAAACGTGTTTTGCATAGCCCATATTGCATCCGTAGAGCGGGGAATGCAAACCCCGTTGTGTCCTTTTTTGGTAAAGCTTCTTAGATATCTCAAAATTAAGCCAATCCAGACGAATCATGATGCCCAAATGTTCACAGCTGCTTTCGTGTCCCGTTGTGAGAGGGCGTCCATCTAGTCGTCTATGCCTTTGTTTTGCTACTGCTTTCATTGGAGGCGATCCAATCTCGATCGAGACGATGGTGGGTTTTGTCGCTCTACCAACCATTACCGCACAAGTTGTTTGGTCCACATCCCAACAATAACAAGGGGTGGCAGGGCAAATGGGCTCGGGCGTCCAGTCCCATTGCATCTCCCAATGAAGGCACCAATGTTGGTAGAAAATAGCTTGAGAGAGAAAGCGACATCACTTCAGTTTAGTAATGATAACGTAGTCAATACATGGGGGTGTGGCCTATTTATAAACATCCATCACAAGTCCAAAGTCTAACCTACATGCCCTTGGCCTGAATTAATAATATGCATCGAA